TGCTACTCACTTCCCTCTCCGTCTCCCTCCCCACTGACATCCCCAGGGGCAGGGCTGGGCTGGTGCTTGCACCAGCCTGCCCCCACCCCTCCATGAAAGATTAATCTTCAAGAGAACACAAGCTCCCTAAGGTGCTCTAAAGCAGAGCACCTTAATATAATACCTCATTTGACAATGGTTAATTTTTTGTGCAACTAGCCATTTTAAACGCACTCTGCAGCCATGCACACATGTTAAGTTATGTCTGTAGAGTGCTTTCAAGGGACAGATCATGTGAAAAATGTCACTTCTGCCTTACATGCATAGAATTCTTCACCTCCATTATCTACTTTGTAGCTTAAATCATGTTCAGTTTAACTGCACCAGAAACAGCTGCCTTGAAAATAATTAGAAGCCTTGAAAATAATGAGAGTTAGCCACTTCCATGGTGGCTGCTTCTAGAAGCGGCCTCCAAAACTATTAGAAGTCTTGAAAATGATGAGAGTGAGTGTCTTGTGGCTGCTATTAGCACAACACTGACAGCATTGCATATCTGACAAGCACTGCTTGCATTAAATTTGGGTACGTGTCTACTTAAGGTAAGTACATGGTCTTTTTTCAATCCAAAGGCTATGGACTTTAAATGGAGTACATTGTATTATCCATTTTCATTTTACCTGAAAGTGCAGGGATACTCAGCAATTCTAAAGAAACCGATCAATTGTGTTCAGTATGCACCTATCTAGCATAAGGATATGCTACTAGGGAGGTTGTGGAGTCCCTGGAAATTTTCAAGAGCACTGGGATGGCACACTCAGGTATGCTCCTGCTCTCGACCAGATGACCGTATGATTTCCCTTCCAGCCCTACTTTCCTATGACCCTCTTTTACATCAAACAACAGAATTGTAAAAAAAAGGAGCACAGGACTGATCACGTTAAACTACACCAAACCTAGAATTCTTGCATATAATTAAAACACACTTTATTCAGTTCAGCCCACATCCTTCAGTAATCACTAGCAAAACCCTCTTTGCTTAAACAACAATGAAGTATTTAGTTCAAAGTCCCAGACTGAAGTCACTGGGAAGACTCCTGTTAACTTGAATAAATTTGGATCCATTTTTTAGTCTTAGTCTCAGCAACACTATCTCATTATCTTCCTTCATATCTTCTCTTACAAATTTTCCTCTGCTGTGAAACCTGAAAAGACAGTTAACCTGGCAACATGCTATGAACACTGCCTATTATACTGGCTAATATTGCGCTCCCATCCATTTGTTACCTCCTGTCCTATAATCAGATTGTAAGGTCTTTGAGCTGAGATGACCTTTTTGTTACGTATTTGTACAGTACCTTAGAAAAGACAGACCCATGCTTAGTTCTACAATGCATGATGGCAGCACAAATAATCATATTTGAAGATCTTTTGCTTCCCGTTAAGTATTGTATTAATTTCAGTGACCTATCCATTTTTGGATGTATTATTGACACCAAAACTGATGATTGCCATGTACACCATATAATAGTTCTGCCAGGTGACACTGGCAATAAGTATCCTCTACTAAATTTGCAAGCTTCACTGGGAGTTGGGGGCACTAAGTACCTTATAGGTCCAGGTCCAGGCTCTAAGGAGTACTACCACTGGCATATGCATACATAGCAAAACCCTTTTTTTTCTGTTCTGCAGCTGTTGCTGTTATTAATACTTTACGTTCAATCTAGTTTACGAAATATGCTTTGTAGCTAAAATAAAATAATTTGAAAGACAAGTTCCAGCTCTGGGAATACTGGCATTTCAAAATGAAATTTCAAATAAAAGTGCAACTGTTTTTCCTTCAACTAGATTGAAAGTAAAGATGCAGCAAATTATCATGCCATTACTTGCTCCTGTAATCTGTGAGGATTTAATATATTTAATCCAAGAACATCAAGCTTTCAATCTGCCAAATCATAAAAGTGTTATCTTGATTAGATTAGTAATGTAGTAATGACTAATAAAATTATTTTCCCTGGTGCATTGTGTACCCTGCCTAACATGAGGCTTGAGAACATAAATATCTACTCCACAGACAGATTTTCACAAGGTCTGGGAAGTGACTTGCATACTCAAAGTGAGAATTACCATAATAAGTTCTAACGAAGGACTTCAAAAAGAAACTCCAATCTCCAATGATGGAACTGCCTGAATAAAAGTCCATAAACTAATGTGAGATCCCAGCAAATCCAGACATGCAGATAACTTCTATCGATTAAAGATGTTAAAGCAATGAATTGGAAGATAATATGTATTATTCAAGATAGGAAATGTTTCAGTGGAGGGAGCT